CAGAGAGTCCAACAAGCATTGCTATACGCCAGCTTGCTAAGAGCGCTCAGCTTGCAATGCAATCAGCAACAATACTCGCAGAGGAGAATAAGAAGCTACGTACAGTCAATAAGCGCCAACAACAAAAGCAAGACCGGCGCCGTCAATATATCGCCTCTGGCGGGGTGCTTCAGGTGCAGCAGGCTCAGCAGCTTACTGCAGAGACAGAAAGGTTGGTCATGGGCAGTGACCAGAACCAGACTGGTGAGCGACGCCAGCGCGCGCCGCCAACGTGCACGAAATGCCACACTGTAGGACATACTCGGACGTCATGCAGGACTAGATCATGAATTATATCTCTTAATTATCTCCAAAAATATTACGTTGTTGTGGCTCAATTGCGTAAAACGTCGCGTCAATTTTGGTGGGGCGGCCAGCTTACTGATACGGCCAGCTTACTGATAGAACACGTTATCTCTCGGGACGGATATCGGCGAGAGTCATGGAGTAGATGGCAGCACGTTTTTCGACGCTGATATTCGGGCTGCTGAAATAATAGGTCATGTCTACAATCACCTAGGCTTCTGGGAAACTGGTGTGCTTAGTCAATCTTTCGATCCTACTCTGACAAAGCGCCTCGCTAAGGAAAATTGCCTTCCCTTTGTCGACGTGTTTCCTTGGTTCGTCAAACATAAAGATGACTACGAAATGGCTGGTCATTTCACAGCTGTGTATATGAACGCAGTAAAGCCTTTCATTGTCCTCGCATATGGAGTTCTTGTAAGTTATAGAAGATGCACGTGAAACCCTGAACTAATGAGCGTACAGCCGACTTATGTAGCGACGAACAACTTCAAATCGTTCACTTTGAACGACTATGAGAGCGACAAGACCGCAGAGCGACGACGGTTCGGCCACGGGCACTGGGTGAAGAACATCATGGGTATTCCGCAACTTGCTTCTTTCAACAGTGGCACTGGCTCTACAGTAGGAAAGGAATGCGTAGTTCTCCCATCATGCCATCCCGGTCTTCTCGGTCATGTCGGAATTCGCAAGGAAAAACTGACTCGCTTATTGGTCATGATCTCTGGTCTTGCTTGGAGTGCCGCAACCCTCGCGATTCAATTGGATCGGGATGAGCCTAGCTTGACACGGAAGCAAAAATGCAACAAAATCATCGGGAGCTTGGCGAGCAAGCTGAAGAAGAACACCATGTTCGGCCAGGCATTTCAAAGAGCAAAAGAGGAGTATGTTCTAGCTAATGTTGCATGGAGCCAAGGCAAATTGACTCGTCAAGATGTCGGCGTTATCAGGGCACCGAATCGAAAACTACTTCCTGGGAAAGTTGACAGGTCCAGCAGTTCGCGTATCAAACAAGAGGCGGAAATTTTACGAGACATTGGTAGTTCATTTGAGGTGGTCATCACAGAAGAGCCTTGGGACGGTGCTGGCGGGAAAGATAGAACGCGATTCCGATTGACCTGGAAAGAAGACGACGATCAGGAATGGTCAATCGCACCAGTCATACTTCCCGCCAATGTTTTTCCCACAGAAGAAAACGATAAGCGCTTCCTCTGCTAGTATGTTAGATCTTGTACTCGTCAGTCGTCGAAAAGTTCTAATATGTTATATAGCACACCTACAGGCATCGATATCTGCAACAATGCTGGTTTGTCACTCGGCGATAGGAAGCCTTTTGCTAATGGGGCTACAAAATCTGAGACGATCCCGATTGCTAGTCTTGTCATTACACTTAGCGAACAAGCAAATGCCGCCACATTTTTCGAACACTGGGAAGAGCTCACTGGAATGAGCATTGGCGATATTCTCCGATCTTCTCCGACATCAACTAATGTTCCAAGCGGCCACGAGACCTACTATCCAGCGTCCTTCTTCGCAAATTCAAAAAGTAAGCGAGCCTTACCTTTCACATCCGCAACCTTGAGTGCCCAAGGGTATGATATATATCTTAACAAGGTAAAGAAGGACTTGCCTGCTTTTCCAGGAGATCTATTGTGGTTGATAGACCGGTTTCTCTCGGACAAATTTCCGGAAGGAGGCGAGCTTGACCTAATCAACGCTTCCATCCACGGTAACTCTGTATACAAGCACATTGCCACTTTCTGTTCGAAAGCAAAGTACAAGTATCATCCTCATTTTCGTACTTTCTTGGCTTTAGCAAGCATGGCTGAGATGGGTCTTGACGAGCGAAATGTTTCTAGCTATGCACTCACCCTAGCTGCAGAGATCTTGCGAGGTCCATTCGTTTCGAGAAAGAGCAAGACTGCAAATATCAAAGTAGAAGGCCAGAATCGATCCGCATCTCGCTTTGTACTCACAATCAAAAAAGATCGCCCAGAGAATGTCATTCATCAAGAAGATGAACCAGAGTTGGAGCAAGACGTGGAGGTTTTGGATGATCTCACTGACAAGGAAGGCGATCTCACTACAGATGATCGAGAGAGCATGATGGATGAAGGCGAGGATGTCGGTCAGATTATGGAGCGAGGAATGAAGCGTGGGCGTGACGTTCATGATGATGATAATGGAGAAGGATCGAGCAAAGCAGCTTCTAAAGCGGTGAAGGGTAAAAAAGATCTCGATACCACGAAGGTGACGAGTTAATGTTTGGCTGAAGACTCGTAGCCTCATGGCAGGAATGTATTCAAAGACGCGGTGCAGATGAACCGAGTACGGCGGGAGAATGATCGTCTGGAAGGTTAAGCACCAAGGCAGATGACAGGTAAGACGCTACACGATGGGTTTGTATTACCTAATCTACTACATTAAAGATCAAAATGGTAGACAGAATGTAGAAAGACCCAGTATCAAAGGTGTGGGTACTCCTATTTGATCCCGTTTCTTCCTGTTTATATCACATGACGTAATCCCTCCATTATGAAAACTCAACCCTGTTGTTAGAACTGAAGGAGGTGCTGAATTGTGATGCTGTTGCTTACCTATAAGACCGTGGAGCTGTAGTAGCTATTGATGATAAGAAGATGCCAACATTGCAATATAAACAGAATAAAATAAATTTTGAAAGGGTCGTGGAGCTTGTCCAATTGGAGAACGAACCATATCACAGCGCTGCGGGGCTCTAACTGTTGGGTTAGTCGACCCACGGACCCGACATCGTAATTCTAGAACAATATACGTATTACTGGGTAAAATAAATGCTCTAAGACTGAGGGCAGCCATTGTTTATAGTACCTGTTCTTTGCCACTTCCTTCAAGCCACTCCCGATTGATACGTCATATGCACTACCGCAAGGGTCGTGCCTGCATCATCGACATCATGAACGCAATTCCCCGAACTGCGTTTGCATGACTTCTGCTCCATTCCGCAAGCTTCCACTCACTGGGCCAATGTATCCAATGACTGTCGCTTTCATACAACCAGCTCCGCGAAATTGTACATAACCATTGTAATGCACAATGGTCCTCCGATTATTCGTTCCTGAAGGTATGTGTCTGAAGGGCACAAGCAGCGCATAGCTCCTGACCGAGCTCTAGGTGAGGGACAACATCCGCTCACGCGAAAACAACCCAGCGGCCTCGCTGCACAGCCTGACCTAATCACATCACCATGGAGAAGTTCGCTTGGTGCAGCTGGCCTCACTGGCTTCCTTGCGCTTGTCGGCCGCTCACGTCCAGGCATATTCCTCCGCTCCGCTGCCTTCTTCAGCGTCGTCGATCTCTCATGGACAGCTACTGGATTGTATGGACAACGGGAGATAAACAGAGGTGTATTTAAAATGGAAAATATCACACCGCAGTCTGGCAAGCTGTTGCAAAGTACAACGCGATGGACTGCAGAGGATGCGACGCTGGCTGGCGGAGTATTGGGTATTGTGACGGCCCTGAACCCGCGCGCTTTCCCTGGAGCCTATGGAATTTCAAGATTCATTGGAGCAGCGACTGTCGGATGCGCACTTGGCTATAAGACTGGACAAATTTTCATAACTCGTATCGACCCGCGACTTATGAGTATCATTGAATCATCTGAAAAGGTGATCCGGCGAAGGGAATATGAGAAGTTGCAGCGTGACAAAGAAGCGAAAGCTTCGCTATCTTTCGTTGGCAAACTCGCGCTCAAGTATCACACATCTCCATATCTACAGATCCTGCGGAATCCTCTACAGTTTTCTGGGGCAGGAGGGGTGGGTGGTATGTCTAGCGGACAGCAGCACGCAAAACCATCGAGCCGAGCATCTCAGGGGCTAGCGTTGAGCTCATCGCTGCAAGCAGACACGGCCCAGTTCACCCTCATCCAAGTAGAGTTCAAAGCAGACGATCTTACAGGACCAGACCTCGAAGCAGGCTATCGAGCATACAAGGACAGTCTTCAGACGCGGGACGAAAGCGCCATTCAAGAATGGCGGGAGAAAGTCCTGAGGCATAAGCAACAAGCAAAAATAGAAATAAATTTCTTGTGGAAGCATCTTGCGGGTAGAGAGAAGGCCTTTTACCTCCACGTCGAAGAAGACAGGGACAAAGACATACTTCGACGAGAGCTGCAACTACTCAACAACATGACTGGGGACATGATTGTTAGGTATGCGATGCTCGGATACCACGAAGCAGACGCGGACAAGCAATTGCGGCAGAAGAGGCGAGCGGATAATGTTTCACCTCCCCTCACAGAATCCGACATGTTACTGAAGTCAACAGTAGCTGCGCAATACGACTACCGAGGTCCAATCATTGTCACCGAGCAAGTGCGTACCAACTGGACAAGACAAAAGGAGGTCCTATATCACCTCGAGCATATTTTATCGCAGTATGAAGAAATGCAGCCAGCAGAAGGATCAGGAGTGTTTGAGCATCGTAAGCAACTCCGGCAGAATGCAGAAGATCTGAAGAGAAACGTCGAGGCTACTGAACGGCTGCTTCATTGGTTCGAGGTGCAGGTACAACAGGCCGAGGACAAGACCAAGAGAGAAACATAGCACTATCTTAGTACGCAAATCAGTAATAACGTACGCAATCATTGACGCATTAGGAAAGATGCACCTTTTTCTAGAGAAAACTGACTTGAGAATGTTTCACTAACGCAATGATACTCTATATCCCCAAGACTGTGTTCACACTCAACTAGTATTCTACAACGCAGCTTCCTTCTTCTCCTGCGCAACCCCAAACGTAGCTCCTCCCTCTTCCAAGAAACGCTTCTCTTCCTCCGTACTCTCCCTCCCTAACGCCCCATTCCGATGCGGATACCTACCAAACCTGTCCAGTATATCTCTGTGTTCACTAGCTGACTTGCTATATCCCTCAATGAACATCTTCGTGCCTTTGTATCCCTCTAAACTTGCTAACTCCTTCTCAAGCTCATACACAATGCCGCTTACAAGATCGTGATCAGCCACATCTTCAGAGTGGATAAGCGGCATGTAGAACCACATCCTATGCGGCGACGAGAGGCGGAAAACAGGATGTAAATCCGGGCGCGGGATGGGCGACTCGGACGATAAGAGTGTACGGACTAGATGCATCGCCATATGATCATAGTGGTTGTATACGAATCGCAGCCCGGAATTCGTACGGTATATATTCCGCGGTATCTGGTCGAGCAGCAGCGTCATACTAAGTGCCGTCCACACCGCTTCCTCGCTATTCGCATCCCCGCTTCGCTCAGCAATACGGCGCAATTCGTCCAAGAACGGGTGCGCGGTTGCATCGGGGTATTTGTTGGGGCCAATAGCTTCCAGTGCGGGGGAAAAGGCCTCGCGACATTGTGTGTCGAATGCGACTCGTTCGGCGGGGGTCGCCATGAACCAGCGCTTCACGACGCTCATGTCGAGCTCCTGCCCGCTTGTGTCAACGCCGGGGAACCATGTTGATATCACGCGATCGTAGAGTGTGCGGTTGAAGAGGGAGGGGTCGAGTTTGAATGCAGACGAAGTGGACATGGTGCGTTGGAAAATCGGCGCGCGGATGCTGGAGAGATACAGACTCGATGTTAGGAAACGTAGGGGCGTGCAGACTGTTAAGCGGGTAAGCATTATTGGTTTTTCATGGTTTGTTAGCTATGGGATGCGATCTTTTTATTTATATGCGATTCGCGCTGAGATCTCGACATGATTCGCGCTGATTCCAAGACTGGATCTTCGCCAGGTTACTGAAGGATTGATGTGGGTTTCGGTGGCTTCGGGAGCCGACAGAGAGACTGCTGACTAACAATTGAATAGATATGGTGCTTGTTATTATCACATTTAACCGTCGATTTTATGCGATCTTAACAATTGAAAAAATATATCATTTTTCGGATCGCATGGTTTCCAGGCTGCTTGTGAGAACTAGCGTATTAGGTTTTGCTTAGAAGCTTCGATACAGTCGCGACTAGCGCGTGCCAGCGCGCTGTGGGAGCCCATATGAATTTCCCCATTGCCATGGTCTGCCGAATATGGGGAAAGGTGGAGAAGAGGCTCTGGACAAAACAAGGGCTAGTCTGTCAAGCTTTACTCCGCATTCCCCTCATTCATCTGCCTGCGCCATACTCAGGCCTCTTAACCTAAACATGTGGGGACGCAACCTACATCAAACCATGTATATCATTAACAGAATATCCATACCTAGTGAAATACCCAGAAGGCCCAATTCCCAAAGTCTAATCCCTAAGAGCGTTGTGTTGTTTCTTACGCTTCATGTTCTTCCCCAATACGCACCCCAGCTACTCCTAGCCCCACATGTACACCCTTGCTCTCTTATCCTTGCTGCTCGCAACCTTCGTTATCTACACACGATACAAGAACAAACCGCCGCCCGGCACAAAAACCGCGCCTGGGCCTGCCGGCCTTCCAATCCTCGGAAATGCACATCAACTCAGCCAGCAACCGCACCAGCAAATCACAGCATGGGCTCGCGAGTATGGCGAAGTATACAAGATCCGGCTGGGCTGGAATGATTGGTATATGATATGCTCGCCTGATGCGTGCAAGGAGATTCTCGACAAGCAGTCTGCATCCACTAGCTCACGGGCACCACTACCCGTATCTGGAGATGCGCTCAGTGGTGGAATGAGATTCTTGTTCATGGAGTATGGACCTGAATGGCGAAAATTAAGAAGCATCAGCCACAAGCTGCTGACTCCAGCTGTAAGCGCCACTTTCAAGCCAAGCCAAGAGTTTGAGGCAAAAATGCTTCTTGAGGAGATTTTGAACGGAGCGAATACAGAGAAGGGAAATGGAGTCAGTTACAAAGCGATCAGAAGGTATACCGTTAGTGTCATCATGACGAGTACTTATGGGAGACGTATACCAGATTGGGTGAGTACACATATACCAAAACATATGTTGATTCGGACTAATAAGACTAGGATTGCGACGAAGTTCATGGCATTTACGATATCATGAACGATTTTTCTCTCATGGCAAAGCCAGGCACTTACCTTGCTGACACACTTCCTTTTCTCGGGAAACTCCCTCCAAAACTACAGTGGTGGCGCAAAGATGTCAAACCATACTTTGAAAAGCAAGCTAGACTCTGGATGTCGTTTTGGAGCACCCTGAAAACGCAAATGGAAACCAAACAAGCCCCCGAATGCTTCGTCAAACAGTTCATCGAAAGCGACTACGAAAAGCAGGGTATCAGTGAGCTGCAGGCAGCGTTTCTGGCAGGTAGTATGATTGAAGCAGGAAGTGAAACAACGTCTGCAGCACTAAACACAGCGATCCTTTATCTCTCTGCAAACCCGCATGCTAGGCAAAGGGCATTTGAAGATATCCAGAAAGTCGCATCATCTACTCGATCTCCAACTTTCGATGACGAGCCCGAGTTGCCTTATATTTGTGCCATTGTCAAAGAAACACTGCGTCTACGTCCCGTCACCAACATCGGTACACCACATTACACCACTGCGCCAGTAACCTACAAGGGCATCCACATCCCCGCACAGTCGGTTGTATGTCTCCAACAGTATCCCATTCACTACCATCCCAATATATTCAGCGAGCCCCAGCGCTTCAAACCAGAAAGATACCTAAACCACCCGCACGGATCGGGTCACTACGCTGCTGGGCCTGCAGCGAGCCGCGACCACTGGGCTTTCGGCGCGGGCCGCAGAATCTGCTCTGGCGTGCATCTCGCAGAGAATAGTATATTTATTGTTCTCGCAAAGTTGTTGTGGGCTTTTGATATCTTGCCGCCGCTTGACAGTTTGGGAAAGGAAATCGAGGTTGATACTAGTGACAAGGCGTTTGATGCGGTTGGGAGTACGACGATGGCGAAGCCGTATAATGTGAGGTGGAGGGTTAGATCTGAAGAAGTTAAGAAGACGGTATTGCGGGAAGCGGCTGAGGCGAGGAGGGATGGGTATGTGCTTAGAGGGGTACGTGTGGGTGAAGAGGGTGTTGAGGTTTGATTTCAGTGGGATTGTTCAAATGGGTGTCACTATCTGCTTCGTGCGAGGACCAACATGCCTGTTGCATGGGCTTTTCCACCGACTGAGTCAAGGCAGCTGCCTACTGTAATTGGCAAGAGCTTTTCATAAGGTCAAAAATCCCTAGTGAAAGTGACCACTGTTTGCCCTTTCGGCGTTTGCTGTCCCCGCTTTACCTATCTGACCTCACAGTCCCTTCCTATACTTTGCTCTTGGTACCAACAACCCTTCCCCTCTATTACCACACTTGACCTAAGCACTAACGCCTTTAAGGAACTTAACACGAGTACGAAGATAATGAAAAAGACCAAAACCATAGAGTTGAGCGACTTCGACGTAGCAGTCTCCAAGCTCAACATCGATGAAGGCGACACTATTAAAGACGTCATGAATGTCCCGTTTACGATCGTCGTAGATGCTCCCGTACAGGACTTTGGCACATTGTATCCGCATGATCAGACAGAGTCTGATGAGGATAAGCAAATGAGCAAACATCGTAGACTGATCGAGGGGAAGCTGAGGGCGCAGGTATCAGCGCAAGAACTCGGATCCAAAATAGCAGCAACAAAAGAAACAACCGAGCAGTATACGACTCAGAATGGCTATGTGGGTGGCAAAAGCGATGCCGAACCCACTCGTGATTCCCCCATATTTCAAGAAGTCAGTATGCATCCACATGAAGATGAATAACTGCTAACACCCTAACAGTCCCCCGATACAAACGCCAACAAACCCTCCCCTCCCACACCACTTCCCGACCGCACCCGTCGAGCCTCTGAACCTACTCTTCTCTCAAGCACCTCACCAACACCCGTACCGTACACGCTAGACACTCCCTCCAAAGCACCTTACAAGCCCCTATCAAGCCCACCATCAAAACGCCACCGCAACCCAGACTCACGCAAAGCCGACCCTCAGCGACCCCGCTACGGAGCCCGCTGCGAAGTTGAAGAGGAAGAAGAAGCAGCCCTAGCAGACCTCGAACAATACCGAACCATGGATCTGGCGCCTTTGGACCCCATCATGCAGAGTAGCACTGCCGGTGATTTGATTACGCACGGTACACCGATTAAAGTACGGGATGTAGATATTTTCTGCGGAGGGCGGTGAAGACGGCGGGAGAGAACGAAATAGGTAGTCAAGGTAGTAGTAGGGCTTGTCGACGTTCTATCACGCAGAAAAAAGGGTAGAACTCACGCTGTATCGACCATATATAAGTAGCAAACCCCGCCCAATCTTTCAACTTCTCTCTCATTTACCCCATGATATGGAATATGGAGACAAACACAGCGCCATCCTAATGCCCTTATTTGCCATCTGTACCCGTAACTAACAAATGCTACATGAAACCCCCCTGCATGATATTCCTTCTTTTTGTAAAGATACCCAAGTCCTGACCCTGTATATAAGCAAAGTAGTGTAAAATCCGTATTGCCCCCCCAAAGAACATCCAATCCATCCAAGCACACAGATATATATATATATATATATATATGCATTTACCCTGTTCAACTACCTCTGCGCATTCCGCCCTCTCCTCTGCCCCCACAAATGTCTTAGACTCGTAATGGAAAGACACTGTTGGGAAGAGGACTGCCACCGTCATAGCTGATGAGATACATCCTGTTGCTCGTCCTGGAGACCAAGCCTTGTCCCGCTGCGTCTACGGTCGTGCTCCTCGTCGTTGTCTCGCATTTCGGTTGCGAAATCTGCCTCGTCGTTGCTGTGGTTCTCGTAGTCGGTTAGATCGTCGCTCATGATGTGGAGGATTTGGCTGAATGTGCGGCTCTTCCAGCGGCCCATGCCTTCCATGAGGTCTGCGCAGTGCAAGAGGGTGCGGCGTGCGGCTAGGTAGCCGCCGTCGAGGGCAATGCCGGTTATGCTGAATGGACCGCCGTGGCGGATGAATTTGAGAGCTTCGCTTGTGTCTGCGAAGCCGACGGGGGACTGCGAGCTGTCTATGAAACCGAGTTGGCCGACGGAAAGCCAGTCAACGGGATCGAGAAGCTCGATACACGAGTCGACTGATGGGCAGTTGCTGTTGGTAGAGTTGGGGGAGTGGGGCGGCACGGTAAAAATGTACAGGCCTAGTATGAGTGCGGCTTCAAAGAGAGCGACGACACTGTGCGGGTTGACTATGTCACTAACTTTGCGGTCGAAAAGCAGCTTGTAAATTTGGGAGGCATGGAGGACGCTGCGACGAGCACTGGGCGTTTGGCTCCACGCCGAAATATCTTCGAGGGCGTTAACGGCGGGCTCGGGGCCTGAGCGCCCAGCCGCGAGCTCAAAGTAGCGGAGATTGGCACCGAGGAGCATGCACGAAGCATGCCAGAGAACGGCAGAATTGAGGTCTGCGGTGCGAACGGCGTCAATGGAGGAGCTCGAGAGATTGACTAGCAAAGGGAGGATGTCACGACTTCGTGGGTCTTCGGCATAAATGCGCCAGGGCTCTAGTTGCTTCTGGTGTCCTGTCGCAGGAGCTAAGCGATCGTTGCTCTCGTAGATGCGGAGGAGGAGCAGTGTTAGCAAGCATCGAAAGCTACTGGTATCCAGTTTCAATCCCGGCGTTGGATGAAATGATGGTGTAATCTTTTGTGAATGAACTTTGGCACCTCTTTGTACCAGATGAAACCATTTTGCAGCGTTGTTGACATGATACAAAGCGTAATCGGACGGAGGAAGAAGATGAACTGTTTCTGGGCGTATCATGGGAGATGTTGAGAGATACCCTGCCCACCAGCAGTCTGCCTCGACCAGACCGAATATGATTCGTTTGCTGCATTCAATCTTGGACCATGTCTTCCATTTAGCGTCGATGTCGATAATTTCATCGAGGAGTGGTTCTATCTTGCCGGCTTCGTTCGCAGAGAAGAGACTTTGGTTCAGAGCAAACTGTAGTTATCAGTATCATAACAGAAATAGACACGAATGTGCACATACACCAATAAGCTCTGAGTATAGCTTCTCGGCTTGCGCGATACGGCTTTTTCGCTGGAGATGGGTCAGCACGCGAACAGGTTGTTTTCCATAGTAAACTCACTCCGGTAATGGAAGCTAGGTTGAGAGCTAGCAAGCTGGTAGCGATAACCCGCATCTGTCTATGTGGTGGCTGATCTGATGCTGGTAACGATTGTAACTCGGCCATGACAAGCTGCAACACAGCCTATATGCATGTTAGCAGATGAAAGTTTATCTCGTGTGCTCCTCTTACAGGAAATGTGCGTGTGACGAATTTGGCTGCGCCAGCTGTCCCCAAAATACTTAATCCAATCAAACACATGCATAGTAGTAACGACCGCGGAGCATTCTTGGCCGAAAATGTTGGTATGTGAATGATTGGAAGGGTAGGATGGAAGTAGTAGAGGTACATTTCCAAAGCAATGTCGAGAATCTCAGCGGGCGGAAACTGGATGCCCTCTACGCTCGGACTTCCCGCAGCATCTCCGCTTGACGATACGGTATCTGCCACGGATTCTGACCGTATCAGATTCGATATGGGTAGATTGTTCAGTGTGTTTTGCAACTTGCTTCTACATTCCTCATCAAGACCCCAACGCTGGTTTTTGCGTTGCCTCTCGCTGACGGGCGTATCTGCTGATCTGGAATCATAATCGGAGAGGATATTGATGCAGTCGGACGAGACCAGACTCTGCCACAGATCTGGCATTAAACGAGATGAGCGCCGATTTCGTGACGGCCAACAATTCTGGACTCTTTGGAAGCGTTCTCTTGGCACTCTGCTTGCAATGGACGCACTACTCCCTGACGGGCTGGCTTGATTCTCTTGCATTGTTCGAAAGGCGTCCGAGTCGAAGAAGCCGCCATCAACCCCCCCTACTCCAAGCGAGTGTGGTCCGTTTGGTGTGTGCCCCTCTTGCTCTATTGGAAATAGCCACGTCTGCAGTGCATCTGCTGGGGTCCGATTGGGAATTGGGTTGCTGCTCTGGACGAGTTCAAACGCCCACTGGTCCAAGCTTGAAACATGTCCTGCAGGCGAGAATGAAAGGACCTCCATGGCTGGATCAATGGGGGGTCCCATGTTGTCGTGGTGATTGCGGCTCTGCATCGGCGCGGTTCCCGCGCGGGAAATGAGCATTGGCGAGGGCGACCGCCATGGCGTGTCGACTCCAGGCTCAAGGTGCTGGGCAGCATTGATAAGCGCCTCGATGCGATCGTCGCCGGGTGAAGCCGGGTGTAGTCGCGAGGCAGGCTGGCGTGCGTGAGGATTGGAAGCAAGATGGGCGCTGTAATGGCGGTTTGGATTCATGTGCTGCTGGATTTGCGCATCTGTCCTGCTGGTCATGGGCGAGAAGCTGGCGTCGTCCTGGATGGGAGGTGTCTGCATTGGCGTGGGACCGCTGTTTGTGCGTGAAGGCACAGCTGACATTGGAGTCTTGCTATCATCTAGAGAGTTGTTGCGCAGAGGCTGCTGCTGCGTCGAGGCATTCTGCTGCTGTTCATTGTTTTTCATCCGGTTCATGGCATTTTGGGCATGGCCTTTGCAGTGTCGGAACAGGACGTCGCTGATTGGAGGTTGGACACGAGGAACTCTTTTTGCTTTTTCTCAAGGAAGCCTCACCTGCGCGAAAAGTGCTTTTTGCATGTCGGACACTCATAGGGGCGTTCTCTGGTGTCTGATTGATAGATTAGTTGCTGATGCTGTTTTCGTCGTCGTCGACAGACTGGGGCAGACATACGGGACCGCTCATGACGCTTCACGTGCTCGACTGTCAGGCAGGTCAGTTGGTTGGAATTCCATCGTCGCCAGACAGCGGAGGGCAACATACGCTTGGTGAAAGTGCGATCGCACATACTACATTGCTTCAATGCCATGGCTGGCAGCAGTTGCAATGTTTCAATGTGTTTGGCGGGTGATCGGAGGACCCTTCGAAGGCCGGCGCCCGGAGGCGCTAGTTAGGCTGCCAAGCCATGGTGGACTGCGGGGGAAGCCATGCCTATGCCCTGACTCGGCCTACTATGCGGCCAGTATAGGCTCATGTCAACCTCATCTACCAGATGCATATAAATCCGCAGTACCTCCTCTAGATTGCACCGCCCGACAACCTCCCTCTCCAATCGTTGCCACCCGATCCCAACGCTTATCTGACGATTGCCACGCCTCATGCCAATCACACAACCATACCCCAACACACAAAGCCTATCGGCTTACACCCCATGAGCTCACCATCCAGCCCCAGAGATCGTACTGTGCCTTGTTTTGACTGCCTAGTTGACCGAGGTAAAAGGGCGTAGTCGTGTTATTCTGCTAATGTAGTGTTGGAAAAGGACTATGTTCAGGTCTAACTTCTCGAAGGATTCCTTCTTACTTCACCTCGCATGTGGGACCTGATGCGTATACTGGTGGGGCCATACTGGATCCTTCCACCGTTCCAATTGTCCTGTTACGGCAGTGTGCTTTGCTCAATGTAGCAGCTGTCGTCAATTGATTGCTACTTTGGACATCGGTTAATAGCCCGCATATTGATCTCCTGGTCGGACATCGGACATCGGAAATTTTGCGTACAGAGTGGGTTTCAAAAAGCTTCGAGGCGTTTGGACCGCCTTTGAAAGCTAGCCGCTGGCCAATCGGTTCGCTGTCACTATGCAATTAATCATTCTCGCGTGCTAGAGGACCCTACATTGCACGTGGCCTGGCCGTTGACAATAATCTAACAACATGCACTATCCATTTGCCCTGTCCAAACGCCCGATGACATTGAGTATGCACAGAAATCCAAGAAGAGCTCAACCAGACATGGCTCGGTGCCTCTGCAAAGTGTATACTACCGATCATGTCTGGATCAGATTCATGCACATCAGTCTCAAGACGTACGCATGTACGCATCTTGCAGACTCGTCACGTACTCCAAGCACACTCTCATTAGCATAGAGAGACCATGCTACTGGAAAACCGTCTTTCTCAAACAGTGTTTCATCTCGATTCTATCTGCGGTGTTCCGCGGATACGCAACCAAGGACCATGTTGATCGCCAGACACATATTGCCAGACAAGCAAGACGCCGACATTGATGACATGCACACCAGTACGCTTCTGAAACCACAATCACAATCAATATCCAAGCTTCGCATCGACATTTCTCGTTACGACGACAAATAAGAGTGATGAGGGACGTGTTGGAGGTCCGATTCTGTGTGGGGCATATGTGGGGCTAGCGCGTCTGCAAGGGTAAAAGAAGACGACGTCGTGGGGCCCTCCAGTGACATTGCATATACGCGTGCATGCTGACACGACTAACCCAAAACAAGGTTTGAATAACCCTGAAAGAAACGCCGAAACAGTAAATTTCCTCAGCAGACCAAAACGCTGGAGAAAGATGAAGGAAGAAAAAAAAGGGGGAAAGCGAGGGGGGAAAACGTGACAAGACCGCGTATTGACCGAGCAGGACCTCGATCATTCGGAACGGACGACACGATGGATTGGGTAAGTGAGCAAAGGCGTTGAAATTGGCCTCCTACATAGATTGGTTATCGTGGGACTTGGGTTACCATATCAGTATACGTACATATAATACTTCAGTCCGAAGTCGTACAGGTGTCTATATGTGGCGAGAAGGGATAATTTATGCATGTATTGTACACACTACGTTTCATATTATGTAGATACTATGCAACAATGCCAGTATCTCTCAACTCCTTGATTTCATCCTCCCCGTATCCCAGTACCTCCTTCAAGACTTCATCCGTATGCTCGCCTAATAATGGCGGCGGCATTCGAATCTTGGGCTCTGCTCTTGAGTACTTGACTGGATGATTTACAAGTTTGACTTTTCCAAGAGCTTTGTGATCAACTTCTTCTATCATGCCTCTTGCAAGCACGTGCTCATGCTCTACAGTTGCCTTGATGTCGTTGACAGCCGCATACGGCATTCCGCTGCCTTCAAAGATATTCAGCCATTCTTTTGTCGTCTTGGTCTTGAGCTCTGCTTCCACCATGTCGTCAAGTATGGTGCGATGTTGTACGCGAAGAGCATTCGTTAAGAAACGTGGGTCTGTCGCCCATTCCGGATGTGACAGCTTATCGCAAAGGATTTTGAAGAGGCGATCATTACATCCGCCTACTGCAATGTTGGTATCCTTTGTTGCATATGCCCGGTACGGCACTACGGTTGCTGTGCATGCTGTTAGCTTTCTGTTCATGTCCCATGTCCACATCCATATATATCTATGCATTTCCCCAACCAATTCCCCTTTGATCCCCGTACATGGAAAAAGCCAACTCACCATGCGCAGTACCCCATCTCCCACTATCCCCTTTACCCGTCACCAACGCACTACTCGCAATATTCGCCAGCCCAGAAACCTGCACATCACTCAAACTCGCATCAATCCACTGACCCAGCCCCGTACTCTTACGCGCATAGAGCGCCGCCTGAATCCCAATTGCCGTGTACATGCCCGTCATGATATCCGTAACCGCAACCCCGACCTTAACGGGCGGTCCATCTCGCTCGCCCGTAATGTGCATGAGCCCCATTTCCGCTTCCACCATGACATCGTAGCCTGCACGGTCACGATACGGCCCGGTTTGCCCGTAACCCGTCACCGATGCATAGATGAGTGACGGGTTAAGTGCCGAGAGGGTAGCGTAGTCGAGTTTGTATTTTGCAAGTGATCCGGGGAGATAGTTTTCCACCAGCACATCGCATTGCTGGACTAGTTTGTGCAGGATAGATGTTCCGGTGGGGTTGTTAAAGGCGAGGCCCACGGATTTCTTGTTGCGATTTACCTATGTCCAAGTGAAAAAGAAAGTTGTGGTTAGTAAAGTAGAAATTTGGCCAAGAGAACTGAGTGGGTATGGGAAATCAGACTTACAGAAAGATAATACGCACTCTCCCCTGGAAACTGCCGTTCCACCCCATCAATATACGGTGCATTCGGTGGCCCCCAAGATCTCGTGTCATCACCTCTAGTCGGATGCTCAATCTTGATAACATCTGCCCTGCACACCCTCGTCAACAAAAAGTCCAAGAAGTCAGCCCCAACCCCTTCCCCCAATTTCTCCATCCATACAAAACCGAAATAGGAAATGCTTACCCCAAGTCCCCAAGAATCTGCGTACAATACGGCTATACAGATTATACAGTCAGTAAAACATAAGTACCGAACCGACGTAGTTCAACATACCCCTGCAAGCACCCTCGTCATATCCAACACCTTTACTCCAGCCAACGGCAACTTCTCCACCGCCTTACTATCCACATTGCTCGCTATTCCCCTCTTCGCCCACACTCGTGCCGCCGGCCGATACTGAAATAAACACTGCATGTGCGGTGGCCGGCTGCATCTCGAGAGGGAGTACATGATTTCCGTAACGTGTATGCTAGTGAATAGCGATTGAATAAACGAATGAAAAGAAGAAGAAAAATCCAGTAGTCGTATGTATGGATGGATGATTGTAAAGGCCGAGGTATGAAGACAGTCAACGCCCCACATACCGACGCGTGCTTTTGTGGGGTCCCGGAGAAGGAAGAGAGAGGGAGACAGGAAGGCGATGGTACAGAGGCACAGACATGTTTTCTTTTGTGATAGTATGGATGGTATACGGGCAAGCAAGTGAGATAGTGTGGAAAAAGGGCGACGAGTATCGATTTCCCCATGCAACGCTGCATGCAAAAAGTACCACCAAGTGCTCAACTCGGATTTCAAAGGTATCCTCCCAAATTACTAATGTGACGCAAAAAACCTCGCTTTACACTCATCATACCGATTATAAGAAAAAAGGAGGTAAGAAAAAGGGCTAAGCTTTTACCCCATTCACCTTGCCCACCCCCAAATACTCCTCAAACTCCTCCCTATGTACCCCATCATCATCCCTCGTATTAGCACCATGCGCGAACCCACCAAAGTAGTACGACGCAAGCCGCTGTTTTTCAGCCACCTTGTCTTGCTTGATGCGAGCGAGGAGGTCTTGTGCGCGCTTGTTAGATGAGAAGCGGTCCTGCGGGTTACTTAGCATGCCAAACGCAAGAAAGCGAGGGGGAAGAGGGAGAGGTGAAGGGGGAAAGGGGAAACGTACAGGTAGATTATCCCAGACCTTGTAGTTAGTACCATGCGTTTCGATTACGCCACAGTCTTTTCGTGCGTATTCGGTCCAGAGGAAGAGACGGCTGGATTCAATCATTATGGTGAGTTGGTCTGTTTTCCCTCGTTAGCATCCCCAATTTCACTTTCCGAGTCGGAGTTAAGTCGGCTTCTCACCTGTCAGTATCTTCTCCGGCTCACTCTCGTGGATCCGCATGCCGTGCTGGTAGCCCTCATGGAAGCCGCCATGCGGCGTGTGACTCCCTTCGAAGCTGCCGCCGCCAGGCTGGAAGTCGTCGCTGCGGCCGAGGCCCTTGCCGTATATGCAGGCGAGGAACTCGGAGGCTGAGTTGCGGTGGAAGTAGGGGAGACGGAAGGTGTTTGTTGCTACGTCCCAGCGGGGTCCGAACCAGAGGAAGTCACAGAGTGGCGTTAGGGGGTCGCGGGATTTGGCTGTTAGGACGGTGAAGATGGATGGGTCGGTGTGATCGATTGATGTGCTATTTTGGGAGGAGAACTTGGTCAAGTCGTACTTGTAAGGGACGACGTTGCCATGCCATGCTACGAGGTCGAAGGGGCTGTGGTCTTGCTGAATGGCTACGAGTTGACCGTTGGTCTTGTTTACGATTTGCCAGTTCTCATGCAGCTCGTCGTCAATGGCAGCTACCGGGTATAGAAAGTCGCGAGGATTGGCTAGTCCGTGGCCACCGAGAGGTCCAAGGTCTGGGAGCTCCCACATGGAGCCCCACACTTCTGTGATGTACCCACGGGCTACCGGAGTATCCGGAGCGAGGTTGAGACAGAATCTGATACCACGTTGAATCACGCAAATCTCTCCTGGCTGAAGGAAGATCTTTCCCATCTCAGTCTTGATATCGAGATTCCCCTGCTGGGCGCAGATGAGGAAGTCGCCGTCAGCGTTGCAGAATGCTCGTCGGTCCATGCTGGAGTTGATCATGTAGACATAAAGTGCAATACCCTCTCTGATATTTGGGTCACCACTGCCAGCAAGCGTGTGCAGGCCGTCGGCAAAGTCAATCCTCTCGTCATCCTTGGGCAATGGGAATGGTCTCCACTCGGCTTGTTCAGGCAGAGTCTCGACTCTTGGATTAATAGACAAGAAACAGTTTGTGATGTTGGACTTGGACTCAAACGGAATGTATCCCTCTGTTGAATCTTAGTAATGACCTCATCATATTCAACACAATACATACGGTGAGCAGCCGCTGGCCGGCAGCGGTACATATAAGTACTATAGTTGTGTGCGCGGGGAGCCGCAAATGCCGAGTATGTAATGCCTTCAGTATAGAGGCCAAATCGGACTTCTTGAGGGTTGTTCTGTGCTACTGGAAGTGTACCTGGGATTACTTCAGATTGGTGTCGATTTCCCCATCCTGCTTGATAGTCGTATGGATCATTAGCCCGTGTTGGCTTCAGCCTCTGGAGATCGGTATAATGGAAAACCTTTTGTGGGTCGGTGATGAGTTTGCGTTCTCTGAAGTCCTGCATCGTGTTCAATATTTGAATACGTAGAATGAATATGCCAAAACCTACAGTGTCAAAAAAATCAGCCTTATATTGGACTTCTCCTCTTTGTGGAACTGTATGCCGACATCTGCCGCCACTAGATGATCGGTCTGTGCATGATGTGGTGGCGGGGCCTAATGCGCATGATAGCGGGGTTAGGCCTTCGGTATATGGTTTCCAGGAGCTGCAAGAGACCGGGTTAGTGGGACTCGCGAGGTCAGAGTGTCTTACCTGTTGCTTGGGAGATGGAACCACATCGTGGGCCTTATCATTCTTCGTTTGCGGGGTGCCTTCTCGAAGTTGAGGAGAAACCTAGTGCTTACTCAGATGTGCCATGGCAAAGTTGCAAGTCAACGGTCATCAAACTGAGCGGCTAATTTATAACAATCATCATTTAGTATGCTATTTTGATGCAGCTAAGACTTCATCTACCATAAGTCCACACGAGCCAAGATAGTTCTTGGCATCACATAACGAGCTTAATTCCTCATTAGAGATCTTGTCTGTTATCTCAGACCGTGTCTGTAGAGCTTCCAACAAGCTGGTATCACGCTCTATACTCTCCTTGCATGCCTCGTACACGATATCGTGCGCTTTTGAGCGACCAACATGTGGCGCAAGACCCATCATGACAGCCTCGGCCACGATAAGACCCCTTGTCGAATACAGATTTGTGAGCATTTGTTTGGGATTCACGACTAGCCCGGAAAGCGCAAAGTCAGCCTGGTTGAGTGCACCAACCGCAATGACAAAACTCTCTGGGACAGCCACCCATTCCAGATGCCATGGGCCAGAAGCGCGTTCGAAATCTGACACCATGCCATCAAGCACCAAGCCCGCATTTGACCGCAAGATCTTTGACGCCGCCAGGATGACCTCGCTTGAAATGGGGTTCCTCTTTTGCGGCATAGTAGACGAAGCGCCTCGGTGCGGTACAAACGGCTCTGATACCTCGGAGAGCTCGTTTGATGACATGATGATAATGTCCAGGGCCAACTTTCCTAGAGATCCGCCAACAAGTGCAAGATAATTGGTGATCTCGGCAACGCCGTCTCGTGCAACATGCCAAGTGATGGGAGGATCTGTAAGTCCTAGGTCTTTTGCCATCTCCTTTCGAACGCGAATGCCGTCGTCGCCTGAGCCAAGTGAAGCCAAGGAACCCGCAGCTCCTCCAAATTGCACCATCAGCGCGCGGTCTCTAAGCTGTTCTAGGCGTTCAAGGTGTCTTTGAAAGCCAGAAAGCCAAATGGCACACTTGTGGCCAAAGGTAATAGGAAGAGCATGTTGCAAGTGGGTGCGACCAGCCATGGGTGTATCTCGATGCTTTCTCGAGAGATGTTCAAGATTCTTGATGACGGACCGCAGAGTGCGCTCAACAATCTGGAGGCCTTCTTTCATCTGCAGAATGCTTGCCAAATCCATGATATCCTGCGTTGTGGCGCCCCAATGCACGTAACGGCCGGCCTCATCACCACAGGATGCAGACAACTGGCGTACCAACGGGAAGATGGGGTATCCGACAATTTCAGTCTCACGACGTAACTTATCGTAGTCCAACTGTGCCTCCCTGGCTTTCGATGTCACGACTTCTCCAATGTGGGAGGGGATGACGTTGCATTTCGATTGTGCCCTGGCCAGGGCTGTCTCAGCGTCGACGCATCGGTCAATATATGCCTTGTCGTCGAACACTTTTCGAATCTCATCCGTGCCAAAGAGGGTGCGAAAGATGACCGAATCAATTGCACTGACGCTGCCGAGCAGTCGCCGCTGAGGACGAATAGTGCTTAGTCGTGGAACTGCACGTAGTGGGGCGCGTCGAAGCAAGAACATGATGAGTAGCTTTGTGATGGGGTAAAACTCAATGGGCCTTGAAAGGAGATAAACCTTTCAAAAAGGCCCGCTGCGGCAGACACAACATGGCGGCTCCTTGCTGTAGGCGGTGGACAGTGGAAGCCGGGCGTGTGGGACGTGAGATGCAGCCTCAGTGTGGGGAAGACAAGAGTGGAGTCTATGCATATGGGCGGACGTGTGGAAATACCGGGGCGGGCGGGTCCTGCGCTTAGCGGTGGCGCAAGAGTTCACGTGACCTCGTGTCAATCCCGCATGCACGCGTTGAGTTCTACGGTCATTGTCTTTACTGTCACCACCACCATCATGCTTGACCACTAAAACTCTATTCAAATATGCTACGACTCTCGAACAAACAACGATGCCACGCCTAGGCCAGTGCTGGCGCACATGCTCACAATGCCAATCTCCTTGTCCTGACGCCGCAGCTCCCCGAACAGCGTTGCTGTCTGACGCGCACCCGTGGCCCCAGTGGGATGCCCAAGCGCTATAGCCCCACCATTTGGATTAACCTTTTCTTCATCCAGCCCCAGTTTCCGGATGCATGCAATCGTCTGGCTCGCAAACGCCTCGTTCAGTTCGATAATGTCCGCATCCTTGAGCTCTATTCCTGTCCATTTCAGCAACGCTGGTATGGCGAAGATGGGGCTGATACCCATCTCATCCGGCGCACAGCCCTTGATCTGTGTGCCTACAAAGCGGCCTAGTGGTTGAAGTCCACGAGCTTCTGCCCACGAACGTCGAGCAAGGATCGTCGAAGATGCTCCGTCAGAGATTTGAGAGCTACGTTGTTAGCTTTGCAACTGCAAGTTGGAAGAACGCCTTACGAGTTGCCTGCAGTACTCTTGCCCTTCTCGCCAAATACAGGC